GCTAGTTTTTTGTATTTTTTTTAGTAGAGACGGGGTTTCACCGTGTTAGCCAGGATGGTCTCGATCTCCTGACCTCATGATCCGCCCGTCTCGGCCTCCCAGAGTGCTGGGATTACAGGCTTGAGCCACCGTGCCCGGCTGCGAAGTTTTATTTAATAGCCATAGAGCACAAAGGTGATGACAATTAAGTCACACGGAGAGACTGCCCCATCAAGACCCCTGGCCCAGCTAAGCAGAGGAGCCCTGGGGTTCCCTCTGACCCCCCCACTGCGAATGCATTACTGAAGGGCAAGGTGGCTAGTCACCCACCCAGCTTGCATGCCTGAATGCACAGAGCTACAGCCTGGGCCCAGGGACAGCCCTGGGAGCTGGTGGCTTCCCACAGGCACAGCCAGCCTCCTCACCCCCACCATTCCTGGCCCCGGCCCAGGGCACACTGAAGGGAATAGGAGCGGAAGGAGCAGGCCCTGCACTGGAGCCGCAGTCAGCTCCTCGGTGCCGGGGCAGCTGTGGCTGGCTGAATTTGAGGAACTTCCCAGAGGAAGTGGAGAACAGACTTGTGTGCATGTCCCGCTCTGCCGCTCTGCCACGCTCCCTGAGGGACACACTGCTTTGGCCAGCCCCCACCCCATCTCCTCTCTGCCAGTCCCTGGTTTCCACCCCAGCCCTGCTACCAATGAAGCTCAAGCCAGGGTCCCCACAACCTGCTTTACGGCCACCGCTGCACTTGAGCTCAGGGGCTCAGGGTCTTGCTGACACGCCTGCATGTCCACCCCTCACCGACACCTCCGCAGTCCTCCTCAGGGCCCAACAGGGTCCCCAGGACCCCGCTCCCATTCTGCCCTTGCTCCTGCCAACCTATCTTCTCTATGCCTATGGCTTTGGGACCCCCTGTCACAAGTGCCAGCCCCCACATCTGGAGCCCCTGCCCCCACATCTGGAGCCCCTGCAGGAACAAACCCTGATCTGGACTCATTGCAAACGCTCAGCTTCTCTTTCAGCCTGTCCATAAACCTCCCGGCAGAGATCACAAAACTAACAGCTCTTTCTGCAAATCTGGACTCTCTCCTGCACCTTCTCCACCATCCACGCCTCCACATCATCCCTCCTGGGGACCTCAGAGATCTCTTCATTTCACAGGTGAAGACTTGGCTCAGAGAGGGCAGAGCCCCTGGGTCTCCAGCAGGGCTGGGGAAAGAACCCAGGGCTCTTTTGCTGGCAGTGTTTTAATGACGCAGGGGAGGGAGAGAATGGCTAATGAGGCTCTAGGGATCAGTAGAACCAGCTGCTGGAGGTCCCAGGGCACAGGTGACTCAGCAGGAATGGGGGAGTCTGAGGGGTTGACGGAATACCCAATTCTCACCTCCTCCTGTACCTTCCAGAGAGACGGGCTGCAGGGAGTGACTGCGTGAATGAACATGGCTAGAGGGACCTAGCTTCTCCTCAGCAGCTGCTTAAGGACAGCATTAGCGATCCCCTCAATCCCCCCACCCACACACGCACACGTGCACTGACCTGCAGAGGCCAGACCCCGGTGGACCTGGGGACACATTCTCCAGGGACTGTCTTGCTATGTCCCTTCCCAGATCAGCCTGGATTCATGCCAGGCCAGCCTCCACAATTTGCTGAGGGAGGCCCCAGGGTCCAGGGCACCCAGAGTGCTAACTAGCCCCTGGGGGTACAGGGAGAACAACATGCTGTGTGGGAGATACTACCCTCTGCCCATACCTAGGGCCCTGTGGTGGCCACAGGCAGCACTGCTTATGCAAAGGCACTGGGGTGAGAAGGAATGGGGTGCAGTGGCGAGGGTCCCGCAGAGGGTGAAAGGGCTGCAGGGGAAGGCAGTCCAGCAGAGATGCCATGAGGGCCTCAGATGCCAGGCTGCAGAGGTGGACAGGCTGGCCAGCTCCTCTCCCCCAGCCTCCTACTGTAAAAGGGGAGAGGTTCCCAGCCCTGCTAATTCATCCATTCACTCCATGGCAAGACAGCCACTGACAGCTGTGTCCTGGGACCCACCCAGGTCTGGCCTCTGTGCAGGCTAGCACTCAGCATGCTTAGTGCCACACTCAGCCCAGGAGAGATGACGCAGCCCTGGGCTCAGAGACCCCACTGTGGGAGGAAGGAAAAGAGTCATTTAAATAGAACTGTGAAGGGTGCTGTGGAGAAGGGGCTCGAGGTCCCTGGTGTGGAATGGGGTGGTCAAGGAACTTTTCCCTACCCAAGTGGGAAAAGTGAGAGCCACCAGGAAAATGGTGGGGAGGGGGGGTGGTGGGGGGGAGAGGAACTATGCAAAGACCCAGAAGGATGAAGAAGACTGTTGGATTAGAGGAGGTTAAAGGCACAGACAGGCTTGGACATGGTGGCTCATGCCTGTAATCCCAGCACTTTGGGAGGCCAAGACAGGAGGATCACTTGAGGCCAGGAGTTCAAGACCAACCTGGGAAACACAGTAAGACCCTATCTCTACAAAATATAATAATAATAATAATAATAATAATAATAATAATTTTAAATTAGCCGGACATGCTGGTGCACACTTATAGTCCCATCTACTCAGGAGACTGAGGTGGGAGCATCACTTGGGCCCAGGAGGTGGAGGCTGCAGTGAGCTATGATTGATTGCACCACTGCACCCCAGCCTGGGCAACACAGCAAAATCCTGTTTATAAAAACAAAACGAAACAAAAAACCCAGCTTGAGATGGCCAGGGATTTCCAGAGGCCCTAGGCGGGCCGCCTTGGAGAGTAAGGGAGACCCTGAAGAGCTCGCATGGAAGGGCCAGCAGCTTGGGGCTGGACATGTCACCTGGATGGGTTCTTCCAGCTGTGTGGACTAGGGGACAGGGTGAGGAGATAATGGCCTGGACTACATGGAAGGAGGTCGCCCTGAGCCACTGAAAAGGGCTGTGGGATCCATGACCACTCCTGGTCTTCCCTTGACTATGATGGAGAACTGTCTCCATAGCTTCCAGTGGAAAACGTGAGCTCAGTTCCTGATTTGTGTGTAGCGGGTGGTGCCTGGGCTTCAGCTGGCGATGCTCCATGTCACCTCTGCCCAGAAACTGGGCCATGCCCTTGGTGAGATCCTGCCCACAACGCCGTCGTTCTGGCAGGGTCCCCTGGGAACCCAGCTGCCCAGGACCCTGCCCCGCCGGGATTCACCGCACCCCAGGCCGGATCCCCTAGGGCTTTGGTCGTTCCCACAGCCATCCCGAGGGCCCCCTCCACGGTGCGTAGCCTGGGGCCCAGCGGTCGCTAGGCTGCAGCCTGGGGCT